CCCACCACTTAAAACTTCAGTAATTCAAGAGACTTATCTTGAAGTAATGCAGTATTTGTGTGCATTATCTTGCATCTTGACTGGTTCACAAGATTGCTTTCAAAGCCAAGAATTTGAAGGGGGGGAGGTTGGAAAGGAAAAGGATATATGAATACATTCCTTTGATAACATATTTGTCAGTAGTCATCAATATATCTTTCTGTTTATTTTTTTAAGCCATGGCCAATTCTATAAGCAAGGCCTAGGGCAAAAGGGTAATGGTAGAGACTTTCTTCATTTGAACTCAACTCCCAGTGATTATAAAGATGTACAAATAGAAGAGAATGTATACATAGTTCACAATTGAACTGTGGAGTATATAGATATATAATATACAGACATATCCATCTAATTTTCTTGCCAATAGTATGGAAGCAACTTGCTTTATACTATATCAGCTGGCCAGTTTAGCCTACAATTCTAGATTTCCTGATGGCATCTTACTCAAATAGTAACTTGACTTGATCTGACTAGGTCCTCCAAGCTTTTTTTCTCAGCTGAGATTGGCTACCTGTTGTTACCCACCCTTCATAATAATTTCTATCAAAATTCTACTACTTGATGCAGTTGAGACTTTTATTTTCCATTAAAATCACTGTTATCTATCTATCTATCTATCTATCCATCCATCTATCCATCCATCCATCCATCCATCCATCCATCCATCCATCCATCCTCTTATCTAGCTAGCTAGTTAGCTACCTTATTCATTATCCGGATTATGAAAAGCAATATATATATACTTTTAAAAAACCTCATTCTGATCATTAGCTAGCTTAGAAGTGCCACAAGGTAGCATCAAGATCCAGATTTAGTATTTAAATTTTGAACTATCTCTAATGGGTTCTCAAAACATACCATTCCAACACTGCATATAGTACAAGGCTATGCTATATTTTGAGGCTAAATAAAAGCATTCCAAAATACTTCCTTACTTGCTCCAAGAAATTTCTGTACTTGTTAAGTATTTTAGAAACCAGCCTAAACATTTTTAAAAAAAACCAACCAACCAACCAACTAACCATCCAGGTTTGGAAGAGATGGGAAAGTTGAATCCATCATTCAAATGAGAACTTTGTAAAATTCCTATCAAGAGCTGAACGTGCAATTGTTCAAAAGCTAGAAGTTTCTGTTGCTTACAATATTCAAGAAATAACCCAAAGACTTCTCTGAGTGCAAACCCTTCACACCCATTAAAAGTGTCCAAAGATCAGCTTCTCTAGGAGACATACAAATCAATTCAAGACATTATTAAGAGTAGTGTAAGTGGCAGGTACTTAGAAAAAGAGCACAAAGAATGAATGAATCTAGCCAGGAGAGAAAAGAAAGAAAAACAGCTGTGTTAAATATGCAACACTGGCTTTAAAAAGAAAGAAATCTGGGTTGCTGCCAAGTTGTCCTTCCCACCTCAGAAAGCATTTGGAATTGAAGGAAGTATAAACAAATCTTACCATTACATATAATTAACGTCTGAGCCTAGTTGGTATCCAGATGCTAGAATTGGTTGAACTTGATATGCTACCAACAGGGGGTTTTGGGGGAGAGGGGTGTACAATGGGTCATTTTAAATTATTCCCTTTGTTGTTCAATATGCTCCTTAAAAAGTTCATGTGGGGAAAAAGCGTATCTTTCCATATGGAACATGTCAACTGTATATTTTTTTTCAACGTGCACTTCATTCACAGCCTTTGTTAGGAACTGCAGGGCTGTGAAAGGGAGAATGAGACAGAATGGATTTGCGCTATTCTTCTCACACCAAATTTGCAGGAATGGCAGGATAAAATCTTTCGTACAGTAAGAAAGTAAGAGGAGCAGGGCTGGATCAGGCCAGCATTCTGTTCCCATAATAAGCAACCCCTGGTTTCTGGGAAACCTATCAGCAAGACATAGTGCAGTATCATTTTTCTTTTCATAGATTCCTCAGGAGCAGTTGGTATTAAGAAGCCGATGAAAACTCACCATTGACAATCTCCTCTTATGAATGGGTCTACTCTCTTCTTTTTTTCAAAAGCATCCATACTGATAGTCGTCAATAAGGAGTAAATTTTACTTTTAACTGTTTGGAGAAGTGCTTCCTTTAATCAGTCCTGTTTGTCCCACCACTAAACTTCAAGCATTATAACTTTTTCTCCTGCAAAAAGTTCTCAACCTTTGATCTTCTGGTTATTTTTTTTCTGTACTTTTTCAGTTTAATATCATGCTTTTTGATCTAGGATTAGATTTTGCACATCATATTCCAAGCATGATTGTACCCCAGATTTATATAAAGATATAGCGAGTTTGACAATGTGGTTTTCTATTCGTTGACTAGGGCAGGGGTAGGCAACCTTGGCTCTTCTATGACCCGTGGACTTCAACTCCCAGAATTCCTGAGCCAGCATGGCTGGCTCAGGAATTGTGGGAGTTGAAGTCCACGGGTCATAAAAGAGCCAAGGCTGCCTACCCCTGGACTAGGTTCAAGTCTTTTGAGTATCCTGTCAAGCCAAACATGTTGTCACCTATTGTAGTGATGAGTAAGCATTTCCTGTGCACATTCAGCACTTTGGCATGGAAGGGCCTTCTCATTTATCTCTTACTTGGAGAGCATTTCTGGAGAAATGAAGAAAGGATCCATAATAGAACATACATACTGAGGGGCATCATAGAGGTGTGAGTGATTTTAAGAAAAGCAAATGTTAACTCTTACTTTTTCCATCAGGGCTACAAGACTATATTTGAGACGTAATAACCATTTTTTTACCCTCAAAAACTAGAGATGAGGGGGGGGGGAGAAATCAATTTCTCCAGTTGGAGAGTACAATGGCTGTCTATTCTGATTCATTTTCATGGAGCTTCCTTCTGGAGAAGTATCTTTTCAAACAAAATTCTGGCCTGTAATAGTTTGCTACTTTACATCCATGCAGGACAGGTGGTCCTTAATGTACGACCACAATTGAAACATTCTGTTGCTGACAGTTGTTAAGTGAGTTTTGCCCCATTTTATGATTTTGCCCCATCTTGCCACAGTTATTAAGTGAATCATTGCAACTGGAATGAACTGCCCCCAGAGATCAGGGTTATCCCTGATCTCCCTTCCTTTCGCCGCGCCCTCAAGACTTGGTTATTCCAGCTTGCAGGACTGGCCTAGGGTAATTTTTAGGGGGGTTTTAATTATATTTTAAAATTCGACAAATATTTAAATATTCCTTTTAATTAATTTTAAATTTGTATTGTTTTGTATGTATTTTAAATAGATTGTCAGCCGCCCTGAGTCCTACGGGAGAAGGGCGGGATATAAATCCAAAAAATAAATAAATAAATAAAAATAAACTGTTAAGTTAGTAACACAGTTGTAAAATGAATTTGGTTTCTCCACTGACTTTGCTTGTCAGAAAGTCACAAAAGATGATCACATAACCCAGTGTTATGACCCAGGTGGTTAAGGCAAGGAAGGCCTCTAGAGAGTCCTTTAATGCTCTCCATAAATGTTTCAGCCAATGGCCCTTCAGCAACCGTAAGGCTCCATCCCCACTTTACCCTGAAGGCAGCCACCCTCAGTCCCCCAAACAACAGCCCCTATATTACCAATAAAAGTCCGCAGAGTAGGAGCATGCTCACAGGGCAAGGTCCAAGGTTCCAAGTCCAGCCAGCTAAGCAAGTCCACAAGACAAGGGCAAGGTCCAGGGCAAAAGGCAGAAAGCAGTCCTCAAAGATAGGCAAAGCAAAAGGCGAAAAGCAGTCTTCAAAGCAAGGCAAGGCAAAAGGCACGAGTCCAAGCCGGGGGAGTATTAGCCAAAACAAACCATTGTTCCCCACGGCTTCTCCATAAGTCACTGCACTCCAGTGTTCCTTGTGAGGAGGGGTGGGACAACCTTCTCCCGAGTAGCCTTGCAGCTCTTCTCTGAGCTTCCTACTCTGCTCTCCGTGCCCTTGGATCGAGTGGAGGAGGCAGCTGTTCCTCATCAGAGGGGATCTGCTGCCTATCAGCACCACTGCCTGTCAGCAGCCAATCCTCCCGTGACTGTGAAGGCAGGCAACTCTCTGTCTGGTCAATCACCTCCCCCAATACCTGAGGGCCTGGGACAGCATCGTTCTCAGCTGCTGGCCTCTCCAAACATGCCAAGGGAGACGTGCCATCCCTGTCAGACGGTCCTGGTTCCAGCTCCTCCTCCTCCGAACTGGGCTCAGGTGGGGTTATGACACCCAGGGGCACTGCAACCATCATAAATACATGCCAGTTGCCAGGCGTCCTAATTTTGATCACATGACCATGGGTATGCTACAGTGGTTGTAAGTGTGAAAAGACCCTAAGTTACTTTTCTCAATGCAGTTGTAACTTTGAATTGTCACTAAATAAAATGGCAAAATGGTTGTGAGTCAATGGCTTCCTGCAGATGTAGAATTTATACTGAAGATTGAATGAAATGCCTCCCGAATAGAAATGTAGCAGTCCATGGTGACCCTCAATAGGTTGAGAAAGAAATCAGGAGAGGCTAGCTTCATGAAGGCTTTTGAGTATTAACTTTGCCATTCCTTGTATCCTAAATATGGAAGGCCACGAAAAAAACCCAGTACATCTGAATAGAAGCTGATATGCTTCTAATTCTCAGGCGCAACTTTTTATGTTGGTGGAAAAGCAAGGTAAAACAGAAAGCGACAGGGAATTAGGGGCAGGAGTAAACAATAGATAATGGAACAAGGACAAAGCCAGGAATGTAAAGTGCTAATGGGTTTTGTATTAATTTTGTGACAATTACTTGGATGTTTTGGGGCACCAGTTTAATTTCAACTGAACTTAGTCTTTCTTCAGGGGCAACAAAAGGGAAGAGGGAGAGAGAAATTCTTTTAACGTACTGCTTAACTGTGCCATTTATTTAAATCCCCATTTCTAAGAAGCTACACTTCAATATCCATTTGTGAGAAAGAGACTTCTTAAATTCAGTTGGAGTTTCCTCACAATAGACAAGCATGCATTGGATTACATTGCTCATTTTTCGTAGAATATCCGATAGCTGTATCTGGAGGGCAAGCTAAGCAAATATGAATGGGCTGGATTTTGGGAACAGCTACATATCTAAGAAAGAAGAGCAGTTTAATGAGATGTTCACTGACAGTTGCTTTAGCATCTTGTTAATTCATTGTTGGTTGCCTTGCGATCAGTGGACAAAGGCAATTTAAAGTTGCTTTTGATACGTCCATAAAGGGAGAGAGAGGGAATCTCCCAACACTGGCTTTTTTCAGTATTTTGTTTTACAAAGTAGACTCAGTAATTTTAACTTGGCATGCTAAAAACCCGGCTCTAACACTGGATTCTCCAGGGCACCTTTCATAAATCAGCCCTTTGAAGTGCAGAAGTGTCAAGAGAACATCTTTGCAAGAGTCCACCCAGTTGCTCACCATTATGTAAATCTATTCCTGTCATCAAATATAATTGCATGTAACATTACCTGGAAACTTGGGACTTCTAAATGGCTTATTATTGTTTGAGTAAACACTCCTTGGCCTTGGTGAAGGATTCAGACATTAATGGGGAGCCCCAGATATGGGGGCTACTTTGCTTCAGCCTCTAGCACTGCTATCACCCATGATCTAACTGGAGGATGCAGCCTCAGCTGAGATGCCAAGAAATTACTTTTCCTTAGCTAGAAGGTTCCATTTGTGTCTGGGAGAATCAAAAGTATAATCTAATCAATCTGCCTCGTTCCTGATGCCCTAAGAGTTCAAAGGGGCAACTTGGGCCATCTAGGGACCAAGGCCGAGCACCTGCTTAGTACAGGAATTTGAATTAAAGCATTCCAGAAGATGGTCGTGTTGTTTCTACTTGAACACATCCAGTGAAGCAGAATCTCTCACCTTCCCTGGATAAATAACTCCCAAGTTGAACCGCTTGCACGCGTAGAAAAACAACCAGAATCTGCTTTTCAGTTACTTAAATCCATTAAAGGCAGTCCTCGGCTTACGACCACAATTGAGCCCAGAATTTATGTTGTTAACTGAGAAATGTGTTAAATGACTTTTGTCCCTTTTACGATTTTTCTTGTCACCCTTGTTAAGTGAATCAATGCGGTTGTTAAATTAGTAACACACACGGTCGTTAAGTGAATCTGGCTTCCCCATTGGCTTTGCTCGTCAGAAGGTTGCAAAAAATGGTCACATGACCCCGGGACACTACAACCGTCATAAATATGAACCAGTTGTCAAGCATCCGAATGTAAATCATGTGACCATGGGGATGCTGCAATGGTTGTAAGTGTAAAAAATGGTTATAACTCTCTTTTTTCAGTGCCGTTGTAACTCTGAATGGTCACTAAACGAACTGTTATAAGTCGAGGACTACCTGTATTACATGTCCACGCTCTGGAATATATATCTTTTCATATATTCAGATACTCCCATTCGCTCTTCTTTCCCCAGGGTTAAACACAACTAACTCCTTTATCCTCTCTTCCCTGGACTTTGCTTCTAAATCTCTGGCCAGACCTTCTTTGACCTTGTTCATTTGTCTGAACTCTTGAAGTGAAACCAATACCTTAAATTTCACATCCACTGCAGATTTGGAAGAGGTGAGGCGGGACAACAATTTTAGAGCTAATCTATTATACTGTAGTTGTTCCAATTTCTCAGCAGACATGTAGATCACCTTCTGCAGGGAATTTTGTAAAAGTTAAATATAATGAACACTATTTGTTCTCTCTTGTGGACTTGGGTTATTTTTTTAACCTGGGAGCCCTGCTTTGTAATCATCATTTGAATAAAGCACCTTATATCTGCTGTTATCATAATACAACCTTTTGACAGATTCTCCTGATATGAGACTGTAACCATTTTCAACCACACATTTAATAGGCGCACAATATGTAGACGTGATCAAAGGGGTAGCAGAGGAAAACATGAGAAAAGTGGGGTATTTTTTCTTGTAGCTGCTTAATAGGCCCATATTAGTCACAGAGGCATTTGATTCCTCGCAGCTGAGCTTTGATCAGATGGATGGTGCTTTTCGTAGTGAGCAGTCATAGTGACATAGTACAGAGTGCTGTCAAACGCAAGTATGATATTTCGGCGAGTAGTTTCAAATGCTCTTTTATAACCTGTCTTCTAAAATAACAGAGAAAATGATTTAGAAAGATCAGTGAACATTCCAACACCATATGCCTTACTTTTTGCCATGCAACCTTAGAGATACAGTAGAAGAACCGAGGGAAAAATAAGTGTATACTGTATATCTGTATCCATACAGAGGCATTTGGGGAGAGGGTCCACCTGTAAAATAGAGATATTCATGATTGCCTACAGTCCAACTCCCCATGAAGGTTTGCTAATACTCAACTTATTGTACATTTCCATTTTGTTTAGATAACGGTTAAAACAATATATACAAAGAAATGTGAACAGTAAAAAAAAAACCCTAGAAGTAGCGGTACATAAATTGCTGGGAGAGAGCAATAGGTTCAACCACACGCTGGTCAAACTGCATTCCACACCTAAGCAAGTTGCTCAAGCATCACTGAAAATGTTTTACAGCAGTCATAAATCTAAAAAAGTATGAATGTGATTCCCAAAGAATCCATGGGGGACGCAGTTTTGAAATTTTTGTCTCGCTTGACTACGATTTCAATCCATGCCTTTCCATCGTGCCATGTCAAAAATGAACACTCATGCCGAGCAGTTTATGTCAATTGAGACATCTGCTGCTTATTTGGATGGCAGATTGACAAGCCTTTAATATTGTCATATTGATCCAAGAAGATAATAAACAGCCAAGTGGCCATGGAAACCAGAGTTTATTCTGTTGCTTTATCCCTAAGTATGGGTGTAAATCTGGCAGAGGGAGGCAGGTTGGCAGCACTAGAGGACAAAGTCTTCTGCTTCTCCAAAGATCAGAAGAAGGCTAGATGAATACAACACTGTTTTCTCCCAAAACATTATCCTTATATTGCCTTTCCTGGTCTCTTTAACTCTTCCAGAAGTAAAGAAAGAGTTCTGTTAATGTTGTTTTTTTTCCATCATTCTGGAGGCTTTGCAAAGAAGAGAAGAGTGAAACCAAGGAGATCTAAGTTTGAGGATCTGCAGGAATTATTCCCAAGGGAAGGGGAATGCTGCAACATGGAATATGTTTGGAATTTGTGCGCATAGCATAGGCTGCTACAGTTTCCCCCAGTTTTCTTTTATGCATGCATTGCAGCTGTGTTTCACATTCCTTGACAGAAGCTCAGTGCAGTAGTATAAAGAAAATCCTGGATATTTTTGATAACTTCCTGGATTCATACTCCATATTCTAGAAAGGGAATATGCTCTAGCTCAGTATTGTAGATTAGCAGGAACTCTTTAGGGTTTTCAGATTCAAGTCTTACTCACTCCAGGAAGAAGAACCAGGGATTCAACCTTGGACTTCCTGCATGGAAAGCAGGGGATCTACCACTTAACCATACCCTTTTTCTCTGTCTTAGCACTGCTTAACATTATATAGTTCTAGGGAATATCATTTGCAGTAGGGGGAGAGAGGGAGGGAGGGGAGAAGTGGGTAGGTTAACTTGAAGCCCAGTATATTGGCTAGAACAGTAGTGGCAAACCTATGGCACGAGTGCCAGAGGTGGCATTCAGAGCCCTCTCTGTGGGCACTCGTGCCATCGCCCCAGACCCACCTCCCTCCATGGCCCCCTCCTCACCAGCAGCCCCCCCAGAGGAGAGTCACCCCCCAGCACAGTTGGCGCGGAGCAGCGCAGCCAAGGACATGGCAGCCGGGCAGCAGGGACAAGACTCCGCCCTTGTGCCCCATCGAGCGCAGATGATGCTGCGGGACACGGGCGGAGGGCATGGCTGCCATGGCGCTCCTGGGACACCTGGGCAATCTGCGGCGGGCCATGGAAGCAGTGGGTGGTCCTGCGGTTGGGCGGGGGCGGAGCGGAAGTGGAACGGGCAGGCCGGGCCGATTTTTGGGCACTCGGTCTCTAAAAGGTTCACCATCACTGGGCTAGAAGCTTGAAGAGTGCAAATTCAAGGAAACTGTTAAATCTTAAAACAATGTTTGATATAACTCATGAATTGATGACCAACAATAAATGATGCTTCATTAAGATTAGATAGAAGTGTTCCCATTCAGTCAAAAGGCAGCTCAAAGAATTGCTAGCCATGATCACCATTTTGGAAGGAAAATAAATGTAAGAAGTCAAGAAATACTATCCTTGGTTCTCATTATCTAATGCCAATCAGTATGCCTTGCTGCTTTATTCCTAGGCTCTGCCCTCTAGGTAAAGACATACTGTAAGAATTTGGATACTTTTCACAGCACTACACTAATTTCTAAGTAACACATGCCAAACTGCTTCAAGTAATACCTGTTGTATGAAGTTTGGCTTCTATTTGTTACCGCTCCAAACTGCACCAAAACATTTAATTTCTGAGATGTTATTTTCAAAGTCTGGATTCTCTTCACATCAGGGGGTATATTTTTAACCAAACCTTTCTTTTCTAGGCAAACATGCAACATGTCAGCGATTGTTCTTGTAAAAATAAAAGCTAGAAATCTAGGTGTTACGGCTTGCGAGTGCCCCATAATGCCAAGTGTTCTAAGGACTTGCAGTGTGAAATTTTTGTCTAGAGGGAATGTTGCTAGTGTCAATAAGCTAATTAAACAATTCTGTCTCTTTCTCTGGGTTAATATTTTTTCTAAGGACCACACAAATACGTTCGGCTCTGTTGTTCAGATAGTTCGGGAAACCTTTTGCGTTGAATTTCACTTACAGTGAGACCATATGTATCTTGGAAAGCCGTATCTTTCGCCTAGAAATATCTGGCATCTTCGTTTATGCAAAGATGTGCATTTCACACAAACAAGTTGCATGTTTTATTGATCAAGAGTACAGGCTGTGCTCCAGCCTTTTGCTTGTGCAAGAGCAATCATAAAAAATATTCTTGTCAAAACAAGTCCAGATACTGTCATCATGAGAAATTACAAGTTTCCATGATATGACCTCTAACATCTGATTTGGAAATAATATATGTAGTTCAGCAAGGAGGTATGTAACAGACTGGAGTGAAGGGAGGGATGTAATCCATAAACCAGAGAGGTAATTGGAGTGTTTACTACTGATTTTAGGTCAGATTCACATGCTAAACCCTAAACGAAGTGTTAGTGTTCATAGAGTGCGGCATATACATTGTTTATTATTTCGATTTTTAAAGCCAGCCAAATTCATCAGCAATTCCAGGTACCTCACAACTTAAAAAAAACAGAGCCACAGCACTGTACGTTAAGCAGAATAATTATTCAAAGGCTATCATAAAGGAGGATCAAACATATACAAGTAGTTCTCAACTTACGACTGCAACTGAGCACAAAACCTCTGTTGCTAAGCAAGCAAGGAAGCTGTTAAGTTAGTTGTGCCTCATTTTACAACCTTTTTGTCACCGTTGTTAAATGAAACATGCAGTTGTTAAGTGAATCTGGCTTCCCCCCATTGACTTTGCTTGTCGGAAGCCGGCTGGGAAGGTTACAAATGGGGATCACATAACCCAGAGACAGTGCAACTGTCATAAATACATGCCAGTTGCCAAGTAGGTCAGTTTGATCCTGTGACCACGGGGATGCTACAACGGTCATAAGCGTGAAAAGTGGTCATAAATCACTTTTTTCAGTGCTGTTGTAACTTCAAATGTTCACTAAATGAGTGGTGTAAGTTGAGGACTACCTGTATCATAAATAATCCACATAGTTCAGATGGATAGCTGCCCCGGCTTATCCCAGGATTGTGGGGATAGCCATGTTTTAAGACCCTTTTAAAGTATAGCAAGGTCAAGGCTCTTCAATTCTCTGGGAGGGCAGATATTAAGATAAGTAAAAATGTAAATTCTACTTCCACTGGAGCAAATACCGTATTAAGGTTGCCAGAATCAGTTTTGATGTCGTCCTTTACTATCCTTTATCAAAAAGAATTTGAATAATACATTATGGTGACCATAATGTATTCCTTTATCATTTGAAATCAAAGTAATCTGTTCTGGGTTTTTTTGGGAATACTGTCCCTAGAACATTTCAACGGTGCCCGTTTGATGATTGGCATATTATAGGCATGCTTAAATATTTGAAGTTTCTCACGGGAATGCCGAGTGAGGAAATGTTTTGGAGAAGGAAATAAAATAGCCATCCTGTAAAATAATGCTGTAGGCAAGGGGATAAACAGCAAGAGAAATTTTCTATCCCAAGTTCCCTTTAACAGTTGCTCAATCCAGTTAAATTCTCACCACCACAATCAGTCCCAACAGGAAATTCATGCAATACATGTAAATAATCCCTTGGCTTGGAATGGGTATTGCACTAACAGCATACTGGTCCCCTACAATTGAATCAGCTTGTGGCAATATTAAAGAATTTAGAGGCTTTCCAGCTTTCTTGAGCATTCACAATGAATGTTAAAATTAGAACACTTCGGAATTGTTTTTAGATTTCCTAAGCTTTTGCTAGTTTAGCACTTGCCTCAAAATGCCAACCAATCACGGTTTGTTGTTATATCCAGACTGGCCAACAGCGGAATATTCTGCTTCCTGAGCTTCGATGGAACTGACTTAATATCCTTCATCATCACTCCCCAAATAATTTAAAGCTATCTGGTGGCAAGGGAGGACTCATAGTCAAAATTGTAAACAGTTGCATTAGAAAGCCTCATACACATTTGGAGTGTATATATGCGGATCGTGGTGAGAAGCTAGAGTCAAAATACAAATGGTGGACTAGGGGGATAATTTGGCATTTGAAAGCCCACTCTCTGAATAGTTGTGACAAGAGATTACTAATTTTGGAGGTTGAGAAGAGTGAAGGAAGATCACTTCCAGAAAATGTGTACATAAACAGTCGGAAATTGAACAAGATGTTAAATTTCTAGAGGAGTAGAGGAAGGGGAAGAAAGAAAATTGGCATGGAAACCTGAGCATGGCTGAACTTCCAAAAGGAACACTAATGATGCTAGTGCATATTAAAGCAAATTTTTCTTCAGAAGGGCTTGGAAAGTCTTTTGGTCCTACACAGAGAGAAAGAAAAACTCTTTTGACAGAATTATCTTGTTGCAGCACAGTAGGCAAAATCATATTTTCGGCATCTGGTGTTCAGTTAGATTACAAAGCAGTTTTTCAGATCGACAATCTACAAACCTGTTGATATATTGTGTAGATATATTGTAAGGGATATTTTTGTATACATCAGCTAGCATTATCAAGATATATTCACCACAGAACATAAAAGACATAGACAACTGATAAAAGTATGCATTTGTCATTGACAGTTTATGAGAAAGACAAATTGTTTTCATATAACTAAGATAAATGGCAAGAGCCAGTTTGGTGTAGTAGTTAGGGCAGGAGTAGGCAACCTTGGCTCTTTCATAAAAGAGCCAAGGTTGCCTACCCCTGGGTTAGGGCATCAGGCAAGAAGACTGCCAGTGCACAAAACCAGCTATGTAACCTTGGGCCTATCACTCTATCTCTGCCCTAGGAAAGAGGCACTGGCAAACCACTTGCCAAGAAAACCTCAGTCTACTCTACGCAATTGCCAGGAGCAAGATGACTCAAAAATAACAAAAACGCTTATATTTATATAGTATTTTTTTTCTAATTATTCCAAATTGGGTTTTCATTTTTAAATTTACTAGGAAAGCAAGAAGAATTAGCAATTTTTTTTTGAATACTTAGAATTTCATGGAAGCCCTGAATGTTGAACTGTATAATGTTTATCTCTTCTTAGCTTCTTAGGCTTGTTGTTATATCAGCAGGCACAGCATTCAACAATTTCTGACAGCAGGTTGGCCAACTGTTCCTAGACAGTCTGCGAAAAACCATCACCTCCTCTTTGGCTTCTGCTCTGCTGACATCTGTTGCAGAAAGGGAGTTCACCACACCCTTGTGTCAGCATGCAAACCCTCAAATCCCAGCAGAAAGCTTATTAAAGGGAGGGACTGCGGCCTTTTAAATTCCTGGGCAATTTTTCTCGTTTTTTTTTTAGTCTGAAGGTCAACAAGAAAAACGAAAGGCACACTGCAGCCCAGAGAGTGAAACCTACTTCACTCGTAAAGAGATTTCTTCCTTGAAAACCAGTTTGTCTTTCAGCTCGGATCAGGGAACGTGTCTCACTGCGAAGGATATGCTTTGCACGCAAGAAGTCCCTTTAAGATTTAATGTTCGGACTTTAAATATTTCAGGATCAGGCTGAAAGAGAAGCTCTGTCAGTCAGATTTGACACAGTGATCAAAACATATTAAAGGCGGTTATCTTGTGTCTGGAGGATCACGTGCAGCCCTCAAAGCCTTCTAACCAATCTTGCTGAAAGGCAGCGGTCTGATTTCTATCACAGCCAAACTCCAAACACAGGAAAGTCCTCGACTTACAACCATACATTCAGTGACCCTTTGAAATCACAACGGCATTGCAGCATCCCCACAGTCAAGTGATCGAAATTTGAGCGCTTGGCAACTGGCATGCAATTGCGAGGGAATAGAATAGAATAGAATAGAATAGAATAGAATAGAATAGAATAGAATAGAATAGAGCTGGAAGGGACCTTGGAGGTCTTCTAGTCCAGCCCGCCACTGAAGCAGGAGAACCTATCCAGGGGTAGGCAACCTTGGCTCTTTTATGACTCGTGGACTTCAACTCCCAGAATTCCTGAGCCTGCCATTTTGTTTCCTGGCTCAGGAATTCTGGGAGTTGAAGTCCACGAGTCATAAAAGAGCCAAGGTTGCCTACCCCTGACCTATACAGTCTCCCAGAGTCATGTGATCACCATTTGCAGAATTCCCAGCCATCTCCTGGCAAGCAATGTCAATAAAGCCAGATTTGCTTAATAACCACATGATCCACTGCAGTGATTTGCTTAAGAACCATGGCAAAATAATAATAATAATAAAAATCATAAAAATCAGCCCTGACTCACTTAAAATCCACCTTGCTTAGCAATGGAAATTCTTTTCCCAACTGTGATTTTAAGTCGAGGATTACCTACAGTATATACCCAAAGAACAGACTATATACATTCTTAGAAACAAGGATTCATCTAAAATGGCACAGCAAAATCTAGATAGAAAATCCCAGCCCCATCATTTAGTTGTGGCCCTAAACAACTGCTAAATATGAAACTGGTCGCTAAATGGTTGCCTACCTCTGTCCATCTCTGTATGAGGCAGCAGCCTATACATTTTCATCTTTAACCATTTCATAATTGCAGTTTTAATGTAATAATGTAAGAACCAACATGTGCATTCCAGTGTGTCCTACAAGTGGAGAGGAGCACAATCACACTATGCTTTATCATTAACACAATTACAAGACAGCAACAGTGACACAGAAAGTCACACATACAGTGTCCAACAGGAATCCAAAAAGTATGTAAGCAAAACTCTTCCACTTTGGCAGTGGAACAAATTGTGATCGCCTTGCCCTTCACAATCATACATGGGCACAATGGAACTGCAAAAATCCTGACATTGGGAAAAGAGTAACTGA